TTCCGGTATTGATCTAAAGAATGATTCCTTGAGCACTCCAAAGAATGCGAATTACGTAAAGGAACATTGTCATCATTAGTACTTGCATACGATATCCTTGCTGCTCCACAATTTTTTGTTGGTTATAACTGTAAATATTATTTTGTATATATGTAAATATCATATCGTTACAATTTTTTGTTTTTTGTTGTTATTATAACCAGTGTTACCTCCGGACACTCTGGGGGGAGCTATGTGGAGACAGGCCTGACAGGCTTATTTTGTAAATAGTTTCTAATATTATTTGTATTTGTTTTGTCAATCTTTCATCGTCTGTATATTTTATCATTAAATGATTGTACCTGTTGTTTTAGTTAATGACCTTGAACACGCTTTCCGTTGTGATACTGACATGGCGTGACACACTTGTGGTTGTTCGCAAATACACTACTACACACACACCCTCCTTGTTCTATTCTCACGCGTTATCGAGCCAATTGCATTCTAAATCGAATATTATCCACATTTTAGACTGTTGTGCCATTTCTATTACATCCTACGTCAAGGAAACTTACTGGAGTCACATTTACCTCATCGGAGTTATTACTCATTTATAATTGTGAAATTCGGTACCAAAACTCAGCGGAATACGCGACAACTAGCTGATTTAAGTAATGTCCCTGAACTTTTATTTTGTGTTACTAATTTATAAATTGTTATTGTTACATTAACTTTTGGACGTAATAACTTTATTGCTAATTTTTGGTTATTATACTTTTTGGTCCACCACACTACCGCGGTTAACAAGTAGTCCATGTCCAGTATTAGCTATATCAGCTTGTCCCTTTACAAACTCAATAGGATCGACAAACAGAGGCTCTCGACCTCCTCTGATAATCTTATAAGCTACCTTTAACCACTTTTGTTGAACGTGCGTTGGTAATTTCAGAACCATAGTTTTAATAGTTCTGGGAGAGTTCAAGTCAGAAATGTAATTCATCTGTTTGAGAGTCAGACCACATGCTTGCATTCCTTGAGACAGTATTCTCAAACCTTCCGGTTGATTTCTTCTTATAATGGGAAAGTTTAACAAGTTGGCGATAAACGTGCGTGGCTAAACGTTTCCTCTAATAGCTTTAGTGGTTGATGATAATCTATCTCCAGTTTTAGCATAGTACAATGAAGGGTAGAGGCTCTCGCTTCTCCGTCACAATATTGAACCAAGTAATTCAGTTTAGCTCTAAATCCAATATTCTCGCTCCCGATGCATTCTTTGAAATTTCCAATAAAATTCCGATAATTTGTCGGTTTACCATAAAATCTTACGATTTCCCTCTTTGGTAAATACAGATATTTTAATACTGCATTCTCTGTTGCTTACTGACGGGCCGAAATCTTTACTTCCCTGGTGATGTAACTTTTCTAGTTCTATCACGTTATTGGTTTCGGGTTCATCTTTTTCAAGTTGGTCATATTATCCCAGATGATGGGTGATGACTCCGGAAGCTCATCAGAATTGAAGTACGTATTGGAAGTCATTTCAGTAGTCATATTGAATTTATTGTCCGAAACTTTGTAGGAAGTGATTTTCTATAGATTTAATTCTAAACTGTTCTCTAGACTGTCGCGCACAAAGTCTTAGCTTAGCTAAAGTCAGAACAAGTAAGTTATTTGGCTTGATAAACTTTATCTGTTTCTAAAACGTAAATTAACACTGTCAGTATACAAAAATAAACAATACAGTCTACTAACCAGGGAAAAGAAGGGACACAAATAGCACACCGAACAGTAGCTACAGGATAGGAAAAATTATTCAACGAAGCGAATAATATTTTATAATAAACATGAAATTGTGATTCGTGAGTAAACGAGGCATAGTCATACAAGGTCAAAGAAAGTTAAGGTGGTGGTCGTTTCGTGTTATCATGGATGGTCCTCTTATCGACCACACTATACAATGGTCGTCCGAATTGATAGATTCAGTATTGCGACGAAGTCGGTCAGTTAGAGGTTTCATAAGGGACGCGCAACTTGGTATGAACCATCTATAGAAACACTCGGCCGTCGAACGTGCGTAGTTGCTTGATTGTGATCGATTCTGGGCAATCCAGAATGACCGCCACTTTGCTTCCCAGATGTCGGATGTCTTGAGTATCAATAGTATGTCCGACGGAGTTGGTGCCGATTTAACGTTTCCAAATGTCTACAATGATGCTGTTTCTCTGCAGTCATTTGTTAACAAAATTCAGTTTCCCGAAACGTTTTTCATGTCGGTCTGTTTGGAATTCGGAAAATTGCAGGGTTTCCCTTCGAGGGATTTGCGATCGTTTACGGTCGTGACGAATGAGAAGGCAACGTGTCAGAGTATGACAGAGTTCCGTAACGTCTTTTCGCGTGGTTTGAGGTTTTTCTCTGAAAAAACTTCGGCGTTAGAAGTATTGGTGATCTCTAGAATATGACCGGCAGACGCAGCCAGTTCGTCTACAGCGTTGTTTTGAAAGGAAACACCGTCTGCACCTGCTGAGGAAGCTTAGACAAGAAAACTTGTTTAAGCAGGCCATCGTCGAAAGTCCTTTGACCAATTACCTCTCTCATTCGTAACAACATATCCGTTGCTGAGCCATGTTACAGATCGATGTTATTGGGGAGTTGACCTAACCTTTGTCCATCGGTAAGATCTCCATGTTTCAGAATAGACCGTTTTAGCGTTTCATAAGGTTCCGAAACATCAATAATAAACATACTAGGTGTGAAGTACCTGTTGAATTTGCGCGGTAGTGCCTTTACTACCGTGAGGAATTGTGCACGTGGATCGGTCACACCGTGCTCGTAGAGGTGAGCCTCTGCGCAGCAAAATCAGACTTCGGTGCTGTCCGGCCAGCACGGCATTAGCTGGAAGGAGGGTGGTGTATTAGTCATGAACTTAAGTACCTTAGCTCTGTTCTTCAAAGGGCCTTGCCGCCGGAGACGGAAATCCGTGAGGTAAGGTGAGGTGTGACATTTTTAGGGTCCACCTTTTCTAACACCACCCCTCCTAGTGGGAGGGCAGCATCGCTGCAGATGCTGGTTGTCCGAGGGAAACACTTTACTGCTTTCACACCCCTCTGCAGTCAGCAGTACGACTTCGCCCTCAGACCTTGAGTTGCTGCTTCTAGTCTTACCGTTCTCCAATCGACCTGCCTGGCATGGTAGAACCTACAGGAACATATGTTCAAGCCAATATAGCTTGGTTGGGTCATCACGATAGGCAAGCCCGACGACTGCGTCAAGATAGCAGCTACGGTCGGGTATATAAATATTAAAGTAAAGCAATGATATATGAAGTTCCAAAAAGGAACAAACTCACAGTTTCCGAGTCGGTGTACCAGATCACAACGGCTCACTATTGAAGATGCCACAAGTATTTGCAGTTTGACAACACTTTAACCAATAACATCTATAATTGAATCCTGCCCACCCTGCCCATCAAAAGTCAGAAGAAATATTTGATAGGTTATCAGTATATCGAGAGGTACTGATCTAAACTGGCTAGCGGTTGCAGGAGAAGTTGAGCACGGCGTTCTCACTCGTGATCTGGTGCGGATGCGTGACCGAGCGTCTTCAGCTAGGTGAATCCATTAAGACTGATGTGGTCAGCATCAAATGCCGAAGACTTACAGAACTATTGATTATGGGGATTTATTAACCGCTACACACTTTCCTCACTGACCCATAAACTGCCTTCATTGATTTAATAATTCAGTAAATGTATGGGGCCCGCCCCCCTCTCGAAATGCTCGCACACGGCCACGCGGACACAGCCTCTGCCAGGGAAGTCCTACTCACTGCCTTCTCGTGGCAGGGTGTTGTTTACGAAAATGAGAGGACGAAAAGCGAATGTCCGGCGCTCTAACCGGATCCCAAACCAATGGTGCACATGGGCTCCAGTATCCTGCAGGAACAAATGGCGTATGAACCAATCGCTGGTCACCGGCTACCATGGGAATGTATCTCCTCACGATGCTGCACTGCCTTGTGGATCAGATCTTCAGGTCTAAGGCTCGGGGAGTGGCCCCCTAAGAAAACCACCTGCTTCGGTCTGGGCACCCGAACAGTATTACAGCCCACACACACACAAGTATGGTGTGGCGCATATATATTTGGTGTCCTCTTGTACCAATATTTATGTGTTGAAATAAGTAAAATAAATAAATACTGTATATTAAAGCCTGATAAGGATCCAACGGAAGACAATAATGTTCACGTATATATGTTGTCCTAATAAAAGTTATTTTCTGCTCAATATCCTTACTTCCCAGTTTGTTAATTATCAGTAACATGGAACGCGGCAAAAGTATTATTCCGTTCAAGTTTACATACTATATATATGCTGATATATCAGCACACTGAAATAAAACTGCTGACAAGAATCCAATCATAGAAGAAGTGATAGCAGCATTAGCGATACCAAAGAAGATTAGACATTGATAAATATGATCTGATGAAAATTATTTCGAGGGCTGAAAAGTACAGGACAATGTTAAAACTAAAGATCTAAGGGAGGAAAAAAAGTGAATACACTTGTGCCATTGTGACCGATCCTGAGGCATTTTATCTAACGAGCCTTAGTTGCTCTTAATCGTATATAAACCAAATAATACAAAACATACAACAACCATATGGATAACGCGATGGTGTCTGAAGAGAATGGTACTGGGTTCGAGTCCTGGAGTGAACATCGACTCTGGGATGCAAGTACATCCAGCTCACGAGCCCCGAATAGGATGGAACCTGCGTTCTAGATTTCACTGCTAACCACCATCTATCTCTGCTTATAAAACACACAACAGTTTTAAAGGTTCAACAGTGCCACAAGATATTTTATGCATAAGAAATTATTGTGACAGAGATAATTCCAGTTACATTTTAATATCTCACTCACTTAAGATCATCCTTTTCCTCATCGATATTTCTTTTTCAAACAATCTTATGGAATGACGCTAAAATATTTATTTGCTGTGCAGTATCATAAATTTAAAAACTGGTGCTTCTTAATATTTGTATTTGATATAATCAAGAAAATTACAGAAAACAGAAAATGAGTTCATAAACACTGTTGCTACATAATGAATACCAGTGTACTATGTATAATATTCTGAATATGAACCAACGTGTATTAATACATGTCTGTATCAGGTTTAAATTTGACTTCACAGGGAACAATGATACATTTAATTAACCTTATGAAAATACTCCTTGTACTTTTTCAGATCTGGCTTTATTGTTGGACCTTTTGGTTGCCAACCTGCTGGGCAAACTAAAACAAACGGGTAATCGCAGATAAAAAAAGAAACAATCAGTGGAGGATAACAGTACTTTATGGAAATGCGAAAGTTTATTTAGAAAATGATATACGTAAGGTCGCTAATACGAATACATATGGCATAGTAGCCGATTGACTTGAAATTACGAGTGAATACTACTGCATTATTGTAACAGAGTGAAGCTCCTCAATGACTGATCTCCATTAATTCGAGACCTTACGGACCACATTTATTTCCAAACTCTTGAGATATAGATGCATAAATGCAAAATAGCACCTAGATTAGTGTACTCGACTACAGAACTTTTAGGTCTTGCGACCACTGAGTTGCTATTCAGTGACTAACATTCCTAACTTAAATTAATTCATAATATTGTGCTTATCGCGATTAGTAACAGAAACACTTATGAATAGTATTGCTGAACAAGCTAGTATCTATTGTTATACCAATAAAAATGTTAAATTGCGACAAAACTACCGGTGAATGACTAGATACTGATTGCATTAATACAAATTAACAATGTGACCGACCTACAGTGAGTTAAACACAAGATAACCATCTTTCTTATTCAGGGGGCGAGTTTTAGATTGATCTGTATTATCGAACTGTTCATGTTCCTTAATAATTTAGTTCATGAACATATAAAGATTGATAGGTCAAAATAACTACAAGTCCTGATCGGAACTACATGGTTTCAAAGGGAGATCTTTTTACGATTAAACAAAGATGGTTCGAAGATCAGTGGACTGTGAATGTAAATATTTTGAATAATTCTCAAACTACAATTTCCAATTATTTTGAGCTAGCGAATTTTATTGACTGGGTTTAGCTCTATAATAAAATAAAATGAATGTGTATAAACCAAGAAAAGATAATCCCAGAAAGTTACCTTCACCATGTTTATCTGTAAACTGGAAGGCTCTAACCAATCTCAAAACTTCGTCAACAGATCTTCCAACAGGAAGATCGTTAATAGTAATCTGGCGAACTATACCATCAGGATTAATTATAAATAAGCCGCGAAGGGCAACACCTAACTCTTCTTGAAGGACCCCATAATCACGCGTAATTTGTTTTTGATAGTCTGCCAAGAGTGGATAGCGTAGACAGCCTAAACCACCTTCCTGATTAAAAGAAACAGTAAGACAGTTTTAAAAATCACGGATGGATAGGAATTATGACAACCTAGAAAACCTTACAGTAGGTGATATTTGTAGATCTAGTTAAGAATGCACTGAATAAACTGATGTACGTACGTACGAAGTTCTACGTTATTTCTGACTGACTGAATAAACCAAGTAACGGGGATATATCACAAACTAAAACTGATTGCTGAAGATGAGCTCATTTGTGTAACACTATTCGAGTTTTACACGCATACCTGGGTTTTTTCTACACAGAATAGAATTCATGAGTCATCACCATGAGTTGGTCTGTCCTCCCAAACTGTACAGAAAACGAATATAGTGTCTTAGCCTTAGGATGAATTACTTACAACTTTACATTGTGATCACTGTTTATCATATACTGCATGAATTAATCGGAAAGTTAATACACTCTAGGCATGGAAAGACTGAACTGTGTTTTAGGAACATACTATCCTTCAGAACCCAAGAGAATAATCTGTTGTGAAAAGAAATACATAAGAAACTAATACAAATATCTTTCACAATACTTTAAACTAGCTTAATTCTATGATCAGAACTAATGTAAATCAACGTCCAGCTTGAATTAATCTGTATTAGAATTACTCATTAAAGTAGCTCACACCAACCGCTCGTAATTTCATCAATTATGGTAAATTTACTAGTCAAGAACAAAATAGTCCTACTTTACGTGGAGTATTTATCCAAGCGAGATGACTGAAATGTGAATCAGTTGAAACGCCAACGACTTCAACTCCTTCATTTTTGAACTCATCAATTCGATCAGAAAATGCAGTTAACTCAGTTGGACACACAAAAGTAAAATCCAGAGGATAGAAAAAGAGAACTAAGTATTTGCCAGCATAATCTCTCAGTTTTATTTCTTTAAATTGGCCATCCACCACTGCCGTTCCACAAAAGTCAGGAGCCGGACGCTGTACATGAGCTGCATAATGACGACATAAGTTTGAGACAGGAGATCGGTTGTATCGCAGAGCACCTTTAATTAAAACTTGAAGTAACATTTTCGAACGTCACGACGTAATATGTAGTACAGACTCAACTACAGATCAAGGAAAAATCGAAATAGCAACATAAGTACAAATTTCAATAGTTATCGACAACTATAAAACAGTGGTAAGTGTTTTTCGAGTAACAAAATTCCTTAGCGAGCAGTTTAGTTTAAATTACACCTACAGGTTGAGTCGTAATACAGCATGAGATCATGAAATGAAATTCCGCACTATATTGTCCATAAATAATCAGTAATATTAGCCTTCATTTAAGTGGATTTGGTACGAAAGTGTAGAGACCAGAATTACGCATAGATACATGGAGTAATAATTCAGGCAATTGACAAAACAATCAAATAATTTAAGATTATTACTTCTCGACAGACTACCAAGTTAGAAATGTCGTTACTATGATCTAAGATACTGTCTGAGGGCTGGTCTGAAGAGCTTACAACTCAATCAACGTGACATACACATACATGCCTTGCCATCTACGATTGCTTTCACTCTCATTCTTAGACATTTTCGCCCGACTGAAGGATATAAATTTGGTAAGCCATTAACGGCTATAAATTCCAGACAAGTATTTGTCTGAAATTCACCACAGAGATATCATCGTGTTAAATGACACGGCAAAAACTAAACGACTGAATGTTTCGAGTTTTTAGGCTGCTGATAACTGAGGTCGCATATGTACCATTTTGGGCTTAACGAGAAATCAGCTACTTACAGTCAAATTTGGACGATCACTCAAATCTCGAGATTTCAGTTTAAAATGATTAGCTAACATTGAGATAAATCAGGGTCCTAACCATGCAAGAATTATGAAACGTTTGCTAAGCTAGCGATTTGCAAACTATAAGTGTGGTATAGCCTTACAGGAATGTTTAACTAAAATCTTGGTACATACATGCACATCGACTGGTATATGTGGTAAAAGCAGGCAACGCATAACATACCGACGACCCAACGCTTCAGAGCTTTTGTCCACTGACGGAGGTTGCGAGCACTTGAAGGTCAAACCGTCGCGAGATGATTGGTGCGTCACATTGACAATCCGTGAAGTTTTTCGGAAGCGGTCGAATCAAGACATTTTTAGATTTGAATGTATCGCCCAGTGTAATAACGGCCATCTGTGCGTTCAAGTAACCACAGATGTTGTCATTTCATAATGTATTTCTAATTAAATAACTACATTATGTTGTTAATTTTGCTCTGTTTTTAATTTTTATTCGCCACGTCCGACTGCGTTACGCTGTACGTTCATTGCACGCTGGGATGATATCGCAAGTCAGTGAGTTTAATCACATATATGATTGTTTCCAGATAGACCATGAGAGCATAATGTTACTGAAGAAAGGTTTGTTGTACTGTAAACTATTTTTTTATGAACAACTGACTGTTGTCTTCAGCCTGAAAGCAATATATATCCTTTATCTTCTGTTAGGTAAGTTCGACTGGCCTATATTTCGTGTTTTGGTTTTATCGGCTTAATTATGTCCATTTAACTACTTTGAGCAACATGTCTGTGCAAATGAAACAATAATTATGACACTTGCTTAGTTTAGTATTCTTGGTTGTCGTATAGTTCAGTTTAGTCGAAAGAATTATGGTATACTTAAGTAAAGTGCTTGAAGCCTGTAACGAAACAGATCAGTTTAGTAAGTAGAGCTGCCTGTTTCTAATGAGTATACTGATTGAAATCAGTCCGATTGAAAATAGGAAAGAAATGCCTTTGGCACTGTTGCTGTCATACATTATAAGATAGCTTTAAGTATGTTTGGTGTTTATTTCTAGATTGTACATCCATCACTGACCATATTTCAAGATTACTGTCATCAAACAATTTCCCCGGCAATAACATCGGTAGAAGGATTGCTAAGCGTCTGAGCTTTTACTTGCCCGCAAAATAGCAATATACAGTCTTAGAAGATGGGTGTTCTGTGTCTCAATTAAATGCAGATATCTGCGGACAAATGTTAAGAATCTTTTTGACAACTGGGACTTTTAGTTCATCAGACACTAACTCTGTTTTTATGTCTTCCTTTTAAACTAGACGCAGATGCATGGGAATACTTAAATGGGAGCAAAATAATAAAAGTGAAGATGCCACATGTATTCAATTTTACAAGGCTTTAACCAGTAACACCTAATATGAATCGTACCCACCAAGTGAAATCAAAGACAAAAGCGAGGAAATTCGAAGATATATTTGATAGACTATCAATATATCGAGGATCGTCTGATCTAATCTGACTAGCGATTGCAGGGGTTGTTAAGCACGTCGTTCCCACTCGTGATCTGGTGCGGATGCACGACCGAGCCTCTTCAGCTAGGTGAGTCCATTGAAACTGATGTGGCCAGCACTCGATGCCGAAAACTTACAGAGCTATTTATTTTGGGGATTTATTTACCGCTACAATGTATTGATCCGACTTATCAGACCAACAAAGTTGGGTAAGTAACGAATAGTAATAAATTTAAAGGTTTCCACTGTTCCAGCTAGTGGTGACTGATAGTCTTGGGTAAGGGCATACCGTTATGTATGCTATTTGCAGGCAAGAACGACGCGAAAATGTAAAACTTTTGGAATGCTTTAATGACATAATGTGCGGTACTTATGATACACGAACTTTCGTTATGGATTCAGCAGCGACCGAAATTACAGCAGTGCAGTCTACTCACAGTCATTCTAACATAGTACTTTGTTCATTCCATGTCCTAAAAGCATTGTTCAGGAAGGTATGTGATAATTGTACAAATTATTTTCTGTAGTTCCGAAATCCTGATGTACGCAAATGCTTGTAACACCTTGTGAAAACTAGACGGTCTGACATATGAGTTTCGCTTTTCATAACGCATTATATTCAGAGTTACCCAGAAGTACGAACATCTAAGTACCCATTTCTTCCGGGTGCATGATTATATAAAAGATTACTGGGTTGCCCAGAAGTCAGTGTGGGCTCGCTGTTACCGGGGTCATGTATTAAGCCTGGGCAACCATACAAACAACCGTGTCGAAAGTGCTCCCAAACACATAAAAGAACGTCTCAGAAGAGTTGATGCTCTGTTACTGACGTTCTGGAAAATTTGGAGTAAAACAGACACTGACCTAAGTTTGAGTCCATATGACGCTGTAAAAGATCTCCAACGTTTTCCAATTCTCAGGTATGAAATATAGTTAAATGCATCATTAATTCCAGGTTCCAATGTCATTCTGAACTCTTTTAAATGAGTTCACATCTTTTGCATCCAAAATTGTAGCTGTAAATTATAAACGTGTTAGGACAATGAGACACAAGTTTATAGGAGAATATATCCGGTACTACGACAAGGGTATGATATATGTTGTTGATACTTCACGTACAAGATGTACTTGTGAGCGTTTCAATGACCACATCCTGTCCTGTGGTCATATTCTGTATGCGCATCCCAAAGATCTAGTTCGTGGAGGTAAGTGTGTGTTCCTTTGTCACTATAAGCCTTGTAGACTTGTTTCGACATAGCAACCGGTGGACAAGGAAATACATAATGGACTTGGTTCTTCGTGCGATGGACAACGTGTCAATCTCTACAGGGAGTGATGAACTGCTAGAGAAGTTCACTAACAACTATCACTCAGTCCATGCTCTTAGTGAACGTTTATCAAGTAAACTCATCCGTTCATGCCTCGAAGCATCGGAAGACATGCGCACAAGTGATGAGTTCAATCGGTGCTAATAATGAAGCTACATCGTCAGAATCCATTGTTAACACTGACCATAGCTATGCTTCTTGATAACAAGAAATTTTAATATTGTAATCATTTTAGTTTTACATAAATTCGTTTATATGGCCATTAACTTATTCTTATGGAGTAACGGCTGGGAGAGTGTACTGTACAGTCTTATATGGCTGTGAGACAGGGATGCTGTTTCGCGTTATTATGTAATAATTACCAGTTCGGCGCATACGCGATTAGTCATACAGACCGTTTTTCAAATACTGCAACCTTGGGCATGGTGAACTATACTACTAGTTCGAACTTCGACCTGTCACGACAGATAAGCATTGCCGTAATTAAAAACTGATGAGTTATAAATGGATCCAGCACAAATGATCCATTAATAAATAACTTTCAATTCTGAAGAATCGTTCCCGTTAAGTCTATGAACACTTCCGAAGCCAGCTGGAAATAAGATAGACAGGAAATAGTTACTACAGTATAAATGTTTACCAGAAACTAGTATAAAAACAGAAACCGGTGTTCAATCACAGATCGGAAGTGCACTTAGCACACTCTTTCATTGGATAGTCAATCACGATTATTTGCTTCATCTCTTGCGTTGCTTAGGAAAGGTTGGGTCGCAACATACATGGCTTGTATTATTTAATTCTTTGGACAGGTTTCAATTCGGACACTTAGACGATGAACATATATAAGGACTACTATGTGAACTTACTTTGAATCGTCCTATGTAACCTGCGATTATTGATGCCTATTTAATTTTAGTCCCACGTAAGGTATAAGTAATTGTCATTTACGGCATCAGCACTTAAGCGAGAAAGGCCTTGGTTGATTTTCGGAAATCATCACATACGATCTCAGATAATCTGGTCACCTGAGATCAAGATATCTTGATTGTTGAATCGTGCTATTCAATGCTTTCTCGTAACCGCTTTATAATAGTACTTATTTTCGCTATTAGCTATCTTTGCAAAAATACCGGCAGCTTAAACATTGGAATTATGTTAGCTTAGTCTCCGGTAAAGTCTTCACATATATATACCTCTTCCTCATGATTATGATTTATTTCCTGCAATATAATGATTTGGTGGCTTATATATCTAACTGCAGAAGCTGATATAACATCTTGGCATGTGTTACAATCATCTGCAGTGTATACATAATATTTACAACCCTCAGGACAGCTAGTATTTTCACTATCAACCTATTTCCGTCATAAAAGCAAACAAAACAGTGAAAATCAGCCAAAATTGTGATAAAGAAGGGAAAAACGATAAAACGTATCATGGTATCGTTACTTGTAGCGCAGTTTTGGTAGCCATGACGACTATACAATTTTTATGACGATATATCCTTGGATCACGTTATTTCGTATAAAAATGAATGAGTTGGTTAACCTTTGTGTATAGTTAGGTAGAAATAATTGCTAGTCTGTTATGCAAATACGGAAAAACTATTATAGCAGAACCTGAATAATGAATTTTCAAGGACTTTTCGATACCATGTACCGCAAAATGAAAAAACCCTTTTTCACCCAATTGTGAAAACGAAAAATGAACCTTCATATTTATTTATAATTAATTTCGAAGTTTGACTGTGCAAAAAGCAGAAATGAAAAAGTAACGCAAAAAGTGCCGTGATACCCCTGGGGCGTTGCCCCCAAAGTGACGCACCAGCCAATCACGAAACGCCCCTAGTTATAAAATAACTCAATATACAATATCTTTTATATTTTTGCACTCGCTTCTTGTGGTTTTATTACGGTTCCAGGTATTTGGTTATGTCCATTGAGTGACAGTCCAGCAAATCAACTGCACTAATATTAGTGGAGCCATTTGCCTTTTATTTGAGTGAGTGCATTTTTCCCAGGGTAGTAGGGTTTCTGGACACTTTTGGTTGCAAAGGGAGAATAATAATAATGGAAAGAATACTCCGAAGTTCTCTTCAAAGTATTTCATTGAACCATATTATTATTTAATTGTCCATTTCGCCTGTTTGGTATTTTAAATTTGACTCACGTCTACCGTGACCATGTTAGGTGTTCTGAGGTCCTCTTGCTCCATACCTCTATTCTTAGACTCTGGTCAGACGTTTACATTTATTATTCAACTTCGGTGTTGCACGTTGCCTGACCATTGGCGATAAGGTTGTGGTTACGACTTGGTTCAGTTGCTGACTGCTTATCTTTGATTGAATGCCGGTGACGTTACTCGAACCCTTGTGGACGGGTAATAGATACCATCTTGCTGGGAATACTCACCGGCTTTTAGGCGCCAAACATTTATGTTCTCATCATTCTTTTCGCCATTTATCACGCTATTTTGTGATGGAGAAACATTTGACCGTATAACATTGGCTGCACTGTTTGAGGCATTTAGTATT